AACACTGAATTATATATTTCCATTTGCACAACTTCATTTATTGCATGTACCTTGTATGTTCAAGAAAGTCCCATTGTATCATATCCTCCAGCCTGTTTTGCATTTTTCTTTCGATCATGTTCCGAGACTGATCATTGAGGGCCTAAATTGTCTTGCGGTGTTGCAATGTTCATCCGATGCACATTTTCGATTTCATCAAGTGAGTCGCATTTACAATTTCTCCCCAACCATTGCATCGGCGCATACAAAACAAGTTTCATTATTCGCTATGCAATTCAATATCAGTTTCAAGTGAGCGAATGACGCCATTTTTCCAAATACATAGAGTTTTCGTTGTTCCACAACAGCTAGTACGAGAACTTAGAGTAGAGTTGTGCATGATCTTTAAATCTCTGCATTATTTTAATGAGTGCGTTCATGGATAAAATTTCTTTTCAACGGATGTGATAATAATAACCACTAAATTAACATCAAATTCAACGTTGAGTTCAAAAACTCATAGTGAACTCATGGTGAGTTGATTCAAGAGCAATCTCCGACATCGCTTGATATTATATTTTATTGTCAACATGGTGTTAATAAACATAACATGGTGTGGTGTGACATTTTGGGACCCATCCCATAAGGCGACATGTACAGTGGTTTTAATCAATCATTCTTTGAATTCACAGAAAGAATACAAAAAGGAAAGAGAATCTGGTCGATATGACGCGCCAACCCGGTAAAAGTTTACAAATGCCTCTCACCACCTGCACATTGGGTCATAAATTAGAGAAGGAAAACCCATCAATCAACAATTCCTCGACTGTACGTTCCTTTGAGATTATTTCGTTTGATGGAATTAAGCCAGTATATTATTTTAAAATTTAGTTGCAGAAACTTTCAGTCGAAAAAGCATTTCGGGTAGAGGAAACAACGAGTACGAACAATCAACGATGAATTATGACGTGATGAATTGTCCACATAGCAAATCTAACTTCATTGGGCCACATCTGAAGAGAGCCTGTGAAAGATCTCTCCTTTCGAAGAAGTGGCATGGAACGCGAAATAGATACCACTTCCTACATGATAGTCATCCCAACTATTCCTGTTTCCTCCTCCGAGAAATGGACACCATCACTAGCAATCGGAGTCTTGCAACGTTTTAGAAACTCCTGGGTGTCCAGAAACGCCAACCCCTATATCGCCCTCTATCACGTCTTCCTCATCCATATATTGGGGGTCGATCGGAAAGTTCTGACCGTTTCGAAACCATTCCATACAAACGAGTTTTTTTTTAAAAAGCAAAAAAGTTCATTCAACGAAGTAATCACCATCACAGTCAATCACCTTCTGCCAATGATCAGGCAAACTCATGATTCCATGCCTGTGGAATTGAGCTGGTTGTGAGTCGAAAAAATCAGTCAGCCGGTTTTCGACCTCGGCGTCATCGTTGAACCTTTTCTGGCGAAGATGGTCGTCCAGACTGCGGAAGAGATGATAGTCGGTCGGCGCCAGATCTGGTGAGGGTGAGGCAGAACCTCCCAGCCCAGATCCAGCAGTTTCTGCCGTGTGATCTTTGCGAAATGCGGCCTTGCGTCTTCGTGCAGGAATCGAACCCCTTCTCGGGCTGCGTGCTCACAACATCATGGCCCGCACTCGACAGGAAACCCGATTGCCAACCTCGCTACACGCCCGATGCACGGATCAGATCGGTCCTTTCGGTCGATCCGCATCTCGACCGAACTCAAAATCTTCCCTTATTCTACTCGGGCATTCCAAATAAGGAGTGCGCTTTCTCTTCAAGGATACGGACCGGGCCTCGCTAAAATTTCGCATACTGGCGATTGGTGTTTTCCTGATGACGGAATGCATCTCCTACTGTATCATTGATTCAAAACATGAATGTTTGAAATTCGAGAGTTGTTTCTCCTTTGAATGCTACGAGACGGAACTCACGGGATGTGTTACATAAGGGAACTTGAGAGTCTTTGATGTCGGGAACCATTTCCTCTTCCTCCTTCGGATTCCAGCAAGCTCTCCATTTGAATACATTCATTGGTCCAGTGTTTTTTTCTGTATTTATTTTTTTCCGTTAGGTCAGGCGTGGCGGTTCGTTACATCGTTTCCATGCAATAGTTTTCTGTTTGCGTTTCATGTCCGATTCATTTGAATTTGCATGATTGATGAAGTCAAAATAATAGTCTAAAATGTCTCTGCTTAATATGTCGCGCAAACCAAGTGCACCTCCCCATCAAAATGGTGGCAACGTTTGCGAGGTGAGGTTGAACGCGAAGAAGAAATGTTGAAGGAGGTCCCACAGGACGGCGATGAGGCATTTGTTGCTGGTAAAAAACGGTTGGTGCTGCCGCGGAAACAACGTTTGCCACTGCAGGTGCGGTGCGAAGTGCCTAAATGGGTGTCAGCTGTAATGGCTAGAATCAGTGATGAACAGCAAGCAGATGTGCTTAGGGCCGCTTAGACCGCTGAACAACAAGAGGGAGCGAATGCTGACCCCCGGACTAAGAGAGCCCGTGCAGCCTGCTGAGCAACTTGATGCAAGGAACGCAGCACTCAGGTGTCGAAAGCCGGGGGGCGGCCGGAAATTGAGCCCGGACATCCTGCTTGCCGGTCAGGTGTGCCACCATTACACCACGGAACTCGGGATGTTATGCCTCTCCATGCAATCTCAATAACTACAGTCGTTTGCCACAGCGTGCACTGTCAGGCTGTGCATTTTGATGTAGGGAAGGGACATTTGTTTCACATTGCTATCTCAACGGAAAAATGCTCCCGTTGCGACTCACACGTCAGCCTGAGACTCTGAAAGTGTTGCTCACTGGTGCAAATGTGGCGGCGTGGCATTTTCAGGAATTAGTCGCTAGTATTGTGCCGCACATGCGCAAACTTCCTTCTGTGCTTAAGTCGAACAAGTTCTTGGAAATGGACCGTACTGTTTCAGAATCATTAGCATCTATAAGAATAAGCTAATGCTCATAGTCTCTGCTGCTCGCACCGCAACTGCGGTGGCAAATGCGTTTTGAAATGGGATACGCATTCACGGTGAGCTCACAATCAACAATCGGACGCCACTATGTATGAAGCCTAAGCAGATAAAGTTACCTTCTTGTCGAATTCGGAGTGAAGCTGAACGATTGGTACACGATCATCGATAGTCAAAGGTTCTTCAGCCATTTTCTGCTAACGCCTTTCAATTGGAATCGATCACGTCGGAGACCTAACTAATCAGACACACGATAGACAACGTGACTCAGGTCCGCACCCGTGTTTTAAAATGCCTCTAAATGACCCCGGAGAAAGGCATTCAAATTGCGTCTCAGGAAACATATAACATAGACAAAAAATACGTCGACTTTTCACTTGCTGAAGATTTATCTATTTTTTATAATGGCGTAAAATGTGTCTCAATCAAATCTAGCATTACGAAGTAATTGATTTTCGAAAGGTGGGTAGGACTCTTGACTCCCCCTGTAGTAATTGCCATCAATAGGGTGAATCATTTAAAATAGATTGATTACCGGTAGTAGTATATCCAGGTTTTTGTGGTCTAGCCTATGAACTAGAATGCCAGAGCCCTATAGGCATTGGAATCAACATTTTTGTCACCAAATATTTAAATGCCATTGGTGGGTTCCTCGATCGCGTTGGAACTTTTTTTTTGCAAGATATAGTAATTACGTGTCTTTGTAGATCTATGGTGAAAGAAAGTGATTAACATGGCCTCTCTCAGCTTGGTGAACCCGATGCGAACACGGCAGTTGCCTACAGCCAAGTTGCCTTGCTTAATCTGGATGTCTCTTCTTTACTTATTTCAGCGTTTTCCCTTCAACATAAAAATGCTTCAGGAATTCAAATAATTTTGCTATTACATCTAATTGGCGTAGCTAACTTTTCCTCGAAGCAAACACGCGTTTCCATTTTTCACGTGAAAGCAACATTTTCACTCAGCTCGAGAGGAGATACGACATACTGGCACATGTTCGTTACAAGGTCTACGAATTACTGAACTTAAGCAGAAAAAATTTTCAATTGAACGAGATGTAGAAATATTTTTCCCAGTTAATCAGAGTGATCCGAAATCCAATAGAACATTAATTGGCGGAGGATGGGATTTGAGTTAATTACGTAAATGGACGGTCCTTAAATTTAGAGTGAACAGTGATCGACGGGTCTATTCCAAAAAAACATATCCTGAATACCTATTTTAGGGAGCGCGGATTTCTTTTTCAGTTTGTCGCTTGGCCCTTGTGTTTCATGATTTCCTTGTTAACAAGTTGATTACGTATCTAATGAAGCAGTGTGGCAATAATTTTTCAAACCACCCAAACCTTGGTTAATTGGGATAATGGCATTATTCGCCTAATCAAGACCTATATGGAATTACATGCGAATGATGAAAGAACAAACCGAACATTACTACGTAGTTGTCCATTCGTCTTTAAGCTGAGTGAGCTTCTTTATTAACAAGTTACGTACTTGTAAAGCTCTCTCGACACCGTAAACGAGTGAATTGCGTAGTAGGACCTATATTATCTAGAAGATATTGCAAAAAAGCCGGATGGACATAATGGAAATGGATATTATTCAACATAGTTGCAAGGAACAAAATGCTCGAAAGGGATAGGCATAATTCAATGTTCCCAGTTCCCCCCCACCTTCGGATAAAACAAATGAAGCCATTCGATTTTTAACTCAACACAAAATACTGAAAATTACAGGCACGTGTAACTCCAATGGGCGATTCACATCCATATCAACAAAGAACAATGCAAAAAGTTTTGTATTCTTCATGGCATAGGCGTGAATGGCTGGACAGGGTTCGGCTTTGCGTTCGTCAAGTACAGTATACTATTTGTCCAGCGTCGATAAAGGCGGAGCTTCACCGAGACAGAAATTAGAAGCAGACCAAAGCGAAATCTGCTTGGAATAAAAAAAACTGTGCGAAAGTAGTAATGGGAGAATATTTAAATAGTATAAACGGGGCAAAATTAATATTCCTAGTTCTCTGAAACATTTTCGGTACATATGGGGATATCGCAATAATCCCTACCCTTCTCGTCTCTCTTGTAACACCAAGGACCCTCCTCGTCATCGTTCCAGTTCCGGCAGAAGTTGTGAGTTGGGTACAAATCGTCCTTTAACCTCTTTTGGAAATTGCTGTTCATGTCATTTTCCATATAGTCCGAATATACATATTCTTCTTGGTCCATCAAACCAATAATCCAAGCCGCGCACTTGTGTCCTTTTCTGGTCACATTTTTCGTGCCTATGTATGACACCCCCTTCACGTCTGTCTTGCATTCTAGTGGGGCTGTAAAAAAAAAACAAACAAAAAACTTGTGTATCTGCTGCTTAGTCCACGCCACAGAATCGTTCGAGGGATGACACAGGATCATAAGAATGAGCTTGATAAGTTTGGAAGTTTTTCAAGAAGAGTTTGTTACTCACTGATACATTGCCCTTTAACTCGAACGTCGCATTTTCCCCCCTTGATGGTGGGACAGAATGGAACGTCGCAAGCACGCCACGAACTCGGAGTCATTTCTAAGGAGACATAACATCCCGGGCCACCTGCAGAGAAGACATCGTTTCGACAAAATGCGTGTCCTCCATCCAATTCATCGTGTAATATGCGTCCTCCATCCTCATTCATGCGCATGAGCCATGGTAGACAGGGAAACCCCCACATCGTCACGTTCAGCTTCCCCACGTACTCCGTTCCATGCCATGTCAGTTTGCATTCTGGTGGATCTATGAATTTGAAAAGGATCAGTTGAAATATGATGAGATGATGAGAGAGAGACGCACAGTTTCATATTTATGAACACAGTGGTATATAGATGGACGTGAGAACGTGTCTTCCCTTCACATGCCTATTCAGATGGAGCATTTTAATATCTAGTAGGACGTTTTGTGCGTCCTGGGCTTTGAAGTGATGCTATTATCTCTTTTTAGTACATATATTCATCTGTCATGAAGTTCTTTGCTAAGTCTTATCTGGTGATGTATGCAACGAGGTCTTGCTGGATTAGTAATGGAGCTTTGTCATCCTGTTTCCGAAATTTGAAGGCTGAGGATGAGACTATAGGCTGTTGTTGTGGCTGTTCCTGCACTTGTTCCATTCCGGAAATCCTGGTGCATCACTCATGAATCATTATCCTTATTTCTGCGCCTTGCTCCGCTTCATGACAATTATCCTCATCAATTTGCGCGTGTTACATTGATTCGATGCTGATTTGGTGTTAATTGAATGTGTCACTTAATGACCGTTAGTTATCCCCACAATAACTAAACATTGATTCAATGGTGGGAATGTGAACACTAAATCAGCATCGATTCAACTGAATCTTTAGCAGTCATTGGGTTTTATGTTTCCCGTTAGGATTTTTTGTGTACTTCATCAGGGTTCGTTAAATTGTTTATCCCATAGGCCAAAATGCATTTCGATCAAGAAAAATGCTCGATTTAGGGCAGATAAGAAGATGGCTGAAATAACGCCAGGCGCAAATTTTATTGTAACAAACAAGCAGAAAGCAAAAAAAAAACATTTCTCGTGTGCACTTAAAATGGTGGAGTTGTCTTAAGAAACAAAAATTTCGAAAAACAAGATTCAATTAAGTTATATATTTCTTACTTTTAAGCTTATGATTCGATTGACGTGAATAAATGTTCAAATCCAGACATGTACCTTACTAAGGAACGAAAGTGTGTGTGGCTGCTTCGAGTGTGACCCCTAACTCTGAACTTTAATATATTTCTTACTTTTAAGCTTATGATTCGATTGACGTGAATAAATGTTCAAATCCAGACATGTACCTTACTAAGGAACGAAAGTGTGTGTGGCTGCTTCGAGTGTGACCCCTAACTCTGAACTTTAAGCTTATGTTTCCTTGGGGTGGGGCACCTGGGCGACGGCGTTTAGTGACCCTATGAATGATTATGAATCACAGGGCCACTACAGGGTCACCGGGGTCATTTTTTCGCCAAGTAAAGGCTTCTTTGCTTATAAGGGAGTTATCAAGCCCCGACTTTATCGTTAACCCTCGCAGCACCTACCATTGAATCATTATCCAGGCGTTGAAACAGCATTTAATTAATTTTGGTTCAATGTTATTAGCTTTTCCTTTTCCTTTACCTTTTACCCTTTGCATCAGATACGGGAGAAGCCGGCATCGATGGAAACCTTCAATTCTCAGAAAGCTCTGCGTCACACTTTAGTTGTGCTGTAACTAAAACTAGGCGGGCCACCAAGAAGCCATATTCGCGAAATCATGGGGGTCAGTAGCTCGTTTGATACGTAGCATGTTACGCTCACGTGAGGGAGAGTTGGAGTTCAAAATCTGACAAAATCTAACAAAATCTGCCATTTTCATTCCCGATGTACAATATACCACGACGTATTTTGGGTGAGACATTGAATCGACGTTGACAAGGTGTGGATTGAATGTATCATCATTGACGGTTACATCCATGTTAAATAACATTGATTCAACGAGGTGACCGTCACCGTTATACTGTGACGGTCTGCTGCACAATTCATGGCAGAAGAATATGCAATAAATGAAAGATGTTCATTGGAATCTTGCATAGTGGGTTTTGCTAGGAACTTTTATATGAGTACTCCATCAGGGTTTGTCAAATACATAAAAAAATCTGGTAGGTAGCATTTTATGAAGAAAACCTTATTTAAAGTGGAATAAAATGAATTTTCAACTATTAGTCAACATTGGTAAGCAAATGGTGTATCAACGTTGCAATGTTGCTGTTCAACATTGAATCAATGTTGATATACTGTTGACGTCGACACGTTGCTTCAATTTTTGATAAAAATGAACTTTCAATATAGAATCAATGTCGACAGGCCAATGTGGTTTCATCGCTAGCAGCGTTTACGTAATTACGTTGAGTGAACATTGCTTCACCGTGAGTGTGATACTTGGTTGTGATGCGTTAGGCTTAAATCCAAGCAATCGTTCTCTTGGCAAACAAATATTTTATAAACTGATTACTTCTTTTTTCCATATCAACAAACCCCATGGATCTGTGTCATGGTAATCGGGCCCAGGTTTGAATTAGGGCTTCTGATTAATGTTAGATTCAATACTCCCATCCATAAAATACTCCAGTTGAAGTTTCTTCCCTTCTAATATTTTCACGAATGTTTCCAATCGGGTAACCTTCGATAAAGTTCCTCCCTTTCCTTTAAGAAAATAAACACCACACACGATAACAGAAATGCAATTTGTTGATATTGTAGAGCGGGATGAGACTGGACGAACCGAGGTCTTGGCAGAAGGGGATGTCACAGTACTCCCATTTCGTGTTCACGTCTGAGACGAAGCACCATGGTCGCTCCCTGTACAGCCCAGGGTTTCTGCAATGGTTATGACTGATATTAAAGTCCAGCAAATAACTGGTGGGATCCATGTAAAAGTCGCCTCTGGACCCG